AATTTTTTCGCAAGCTGAAGAAATGACCGAATTAGGATATCCCGAATCCTTGAGCCGTTGAATTTGGGACATGAAGCTGGAATTCAAATTGTGGATGCATGTGCTTGTTAGAGCAGTCCTCAGACAGGAAAATGCGATGCCTTGTTTGACGAGTTTGGAGTGGGCTGATTGAAAGTTAAGAAGAGCCTTCGCTGTTCTGGGACTGTAACACCAGCAAACATGATCGTCCCCCACTTCGATGCGGAGATCCAGGAACTGTATGAGGTTCTGTTTTGGGGCTTCATAGGTGAAGTGAAGTCCTAGCCCTTTTTTCGTGAAGATCTTCAGCACATCGTCAAGCTTTTGCTGGAAATTAGCCCTCTCAACGAACACCAAATAATCGTCTACGTACCTAAAAACTTTCTTGGTGTTTTTCTCCAAGCAGGGTTCAAGATCCCGATCGATCTTGCCCAGGAAGATGTTACTGAGCACAGGAGCTACTCTAGACCCTATGCATACGCCAGACTTCTGTATGTACACCTTGTCCTGCCATCCGATAAGTGTGGACTTTAAATACACGGACAGGAGTTCGAGAAAGTCTTCTACCAAAATCCCGCATCGGGTCCTGAAGGCGCTTTCATCGTTGTGTTCTGTGATGCACTCCTTGACACTAACCATGAGGTCGTCGTGTGGCATGGAATAATATAATTCTTCAACGTCGATGCTGAACGCGCTGCACCCGTGTGGGTTACTGACATTTAGAAAGTCAACAACCGCCTTGGAATTGGGGACGCACATTGGGTCTACAATATGTAGGGAGTTGAGGTGCCTTTGCAAAAAGCCCGAAATTGCGTGTAACCAAGAATTCCGCTCGGACACTATGGTGCGAAAGGGGACTCCTGGTTTATGGGTTTTTGCCGCGAAAAATATGTCTAACGTGAGGTTTTTTCCTTTCTTTGCTCCTGCAGCAACACTGGTCAGGTTCAGTTGGTGAAGAAATTTGATGGTGCATTCCTTCACCTTGGCGGGACGATCGGAGACCGCTCTAAAGTTTTTTAGTACGGCTGTTGTCGCTTTTTCGGAGAACGTGCCGTCGGGCATGATGACAAAGCACCCTTCTTTGTCGGACAACATTATGTTCATGCTGTTGGACGCGAGAAAGTCAATCACGGGCTCGAGGCCTTTGGTTCTTCGGCACCCTCCTTCGGATCTCCACAGGACGTCCACACAATCAGCAACGCACCTTGGTCTGTCCTCTTCCGGTGTTGCTCGTGAGATGGATCTCGACATGACCAACTTGTCTACTCTTCTGAGCATGGGCTCGAGGCAGAACTTAGGTCCTTTTTTCAAAATCTTTAGGTGACTGTCTGGGACTTGAAGATCCCCGAGGATGACAACGTTACCTTCTTTGGCCCTAGTCCTCTTCTTGGGAGGCAGTGTAAGGCGCACTTGAGACCAAAGAAACTCAGTAACCTGGGCAGTGGTCCTTGACCATTCTTGAAAAAGGCGGGATGCTTGAGGGTGAGTAAGCCCCCGGGAACAAGCGATACGGAGGCAGTCCTTAAAAAAGCGGACCTGCTGCCACCACTCCGAACACAAGATGCGACACAGCCTGCTGGAGTGCCTCGGAGACGGAACCATCCACCCGCAAATGACTTGTAAATCAGGGGGGCACGTGGAGGATCTAGCGTACCAGGATGCGGTCCTTGCCTTGCAAACATAGACAGCGATGAGGGATGATAAAACAGCGGGATTATGTACAAAGTCTTGAGAACACAGAAAAGAGCCCCTTGTAGAAGAAATGAAACCTAGCAAAATGGACAATTGGGCGAGTTGGTAAGAGTTCTCAAGCATCCCTCAAGCATCCCGCCTTTTTCAAGAATGGTCAAGGACCACTGCCCAGGTTACTGAGTTTCTTTGGTCTCAAGTGCGCCTTACACTGCCTCCCAAGAAGAGGACTAGGGCCAAAGAGGGTAACGTTGTCATCCTCGGGGATCTTCAAGTCCCTGACAGTCACCTAAAGATTTTGAAAAAAGGACCTAAGTTCTGCCTCGAGCCCATGCTCAGAAGAGTAGACAAGTTGGTCATGTCGAGATCCATCTCACGAGCAACACCGGAAGAGGACAGACCAAGGTGCGTTGCTGATTGTGTGGACGTCCTGTGGAGATCCGAAGGAGGGTGCCGAAGAACCAAAGGCCTCGAGCCCGTGATTGACTTTCTCGCGTCCAACAGCATGAACATAATGTTGTCCGACAAAGAAGGGTGCTTTGTCATCATGCCCGACGGCACGTTCTCCGAAAAAGCGACAACAGCCGTACTAAAAAACTTTAGAGCGGTCTCCGATCGTCCCGCCAAGGTGAAGGAATGCACCATCAAATTTCTTCACCAACTGAACCTGACCAGTGTTGCTGCAGGAGCAAAGAAAGGAAAAAACCTCACGTTAGACGTATTTTTCGCGGCAAAAACCCATAAACCAGGAGTCCCCTTTCGCACCATAGTGTCCGAGCGGAATTCTTGGTTACACGCAATTTCGGGCTTTTTGCAAAGGCACCTCGACTCCCTACATATTGTAGACCCAATGTGCGTCCCCAATTCCAAGGCGGTTGTTGACTTTCTAAATGTCAGTAACCCACACGGGTGCAGCGCGTTCAGCATCGACGTTGAAGAATTATATTATTCCATGCCACACGACGACCTCATGGTTAGTGTCAAGGAGTGCATCACAGAACACAACGATGAAAGCGCCTTCAGGACCCGATGCGGGATTACGATAGAAGACTTTCTCGAACTCCTGTCCGTGTATTTAAAGTCCACACTTATCGGATGGCAGGACAAGGTGTACATACAGAAGTCTGGCGTATGCATAGGGTCTAGAGTAGCTCCTGTGCTCAGTAACATCTTCCTGGGCAAGATCGATCGGGATCTTGAACCCTGCTTGGAGAAAAACACCAAGAAAGTTTTTAGGTACGTAGACGATTATTTGGTGTTCGTTGAGAGGGCTAATTTCCAGCAAAAGCTTGACGATGTGCTGAAGATCTTCACGAAAAAAGGGCTAGGACTTCACTTCACCTATGAAGCCCCAAAACAGAACCTCATACAGTTCCTGGATCTCCGCATCGAAGTGGGGGACGATCATGTTTGCTGGTGTTACAGTCCCAGAACAGCGAAGGCTCTTCTTAACTTTCAATCAGCCCACTCCAAACTCGTCAAACAAGGCATCGCATTTTCCTGTCTGAGGACTGCTCTAACAAGCACATGCATCCACAATTTGAATTCCAGCTTCATGTCCCAAATTCAACGGCTCAAGGATTCGGGATATCCTAATTCGGTCATTTCTTCAGTTGCGAAAAAATCGTAAAACACCTTAAAACAGATCCCGCGATCGAGCAACGTGACCTCGAGCAGAGAGAGAAAAAGAAAACCTCAGTCATACCGTACATCCACCGCCTTTCCCACGGACTCAAGAAAGTCGCCTCAAGATACAACGTGAATGTTGTTTTTTCCGCCCGCCAGAAGCTCAGCTCTGTGTGCTCCGCAGTCAACAAACGCGCGAGAAATAACGATCCTAAGTCTCAAAGCGGCTGCAGCATCAAACACGGAATGCAGTTTGTCGCCTGCATAGAAGGCGTGGTCTACAAGATTCCGTTTTCCTGCGGGCGTGCCTACATAGGACAGACTGGGCGTTGCCTCAACACAAGACTACGAGAACACCACAGTTCTATGAAAGGAACCGCTCACACGCATCTCGCGATGCATTGCCGGGATTGCGGATGCCAACCCCTGTTCAACAAGACTACAGTGATGTTCCGACACAACCACAAACTACACCGAGAAATGATAGAGACGTACCACATAACAAAAACCGGATCCTTGTGTGTGAGCCAGCCCACAGTGACTTTGATGAAGAGCGAGATCGGCTTTTTGGATCTCGGATAACTTGGCCGGTTTCGCATCGAGTGAAAGAAGAAGCGCCAGGGCCACGGAGGGGCATGCCGGCACGAGCGGCAGCAGCATCAGATGTCTTTTCTTTTCAATAGAATCAGTTGCTAGTTCAGCGCTTGTCCTGTGTTTCTGTGTTTCTCCTCTTTCTGTCCTTGTCCCAGTCGCGCTGTAAGTAATTATGAACTCTTACCAACTCGCCCAATTGTCCATTTCGCTTCAGTATCCCTTTAAGCCAAAAGTATCTGAAAGTCTGCATCTGGGGGCCATGCTGTGGTTGAGCGTAATGTTTTCATTGTGTTTCCGGAAGTGGCTTCTTCACTGACGATGTTAGTGGCAAGAAAGTGCTCGTTTATTCCTGACTGGACGAACTCGAATATTTTTAAATATGCAAGTTGGATTAAGCTCATGCAAAATGATCCTCACAGTGCTCAATGCCTTGTGTTGTAATGGTCTTGTATATTTAACCGCCTCTACAGTGGTCAGGGAATTTCACCTGAAATTGTCAGGGAAAACCTGGAAAAATCGGGGAATTTCAAAATAAAAATTTGCTAGACACCCTGAAGAGCTGATAATCTCGGTTTGCTCCATGCGACAGTTAATGGTTTCCCATTAAAGTGCAATATTTAGGTTGTCAGGTTTTTTTTTTTCGTATGTGACCTGCTTTTATTTCGTGCTGCTTCTATCTTCTATCTCTGGTTGTCGTGCCAAACTATCAGAATCTCCTCTACATCATAATGTGTCTTATGGCGTAGATATTCTGATAAAATGTGTTTCTTTTTGAGGGCAGTTCATACTAGGACCTGTGCGTCGAATCCAAGGACTTAACAAAAAAATGTTTTTTGGGTGTTCAATGTCCTTCTAAAGTGAAATACTGTATAGTTAGTTTTTGCAAAGTGAATAGAACTATTATTATCATTATTACTATTAAATTAAACAATTGTCTGATAGTAAAATCTCTCCTGGTTCTTCGGCCCCTTTCCATTCGAGTTATCGTCTGTCAAAGATTTTGAGGGACTTTGTATTATTATGTTTCTACGGTTCTCCGAGCTCAACGTTGGCATGCGTCTCCTTTTTCACAGGCTCCAGTGAAGGGTCTCGACAAGCCGTACGACCCCCACAATTTCGACCCGGACTTTGCGCAAGAGTATGGCGGCTTTGCCGAGGGCCCCACAAGAACCTTGGGAGTGACCGGGGTGACTCCCACACCGGGACCCCGTGGGTGAGTGGCCAGATCAACGCGGTTGTTGTCGGCATTGCCAGATCATTCGAGTTGTCGACGTTATTAAATCGACTCGATTGTCATCATTATTTGTTACTATATTGACTCGGTTATCGACGTTACTTTATAGTTGGTGACACCCTAAGAATTGAGGGATAGCTCCTCCCACCATAGCAGAGCGAACACTGCAGAGGAGGCAACCTCCTCTCCAGCATTCGCTCTGCAAAAGTCAAAAGAGGGGGAGGAGTTTCCCTGAATTGTTAACCTGTCGCCACTATAGATCAACTCGGTTGCCGTGACCATTTGTTACTGCATCAACTCTGTTATCAAGGTTATTTGATCAACTCGGTTGTTGTCAACGTTATTCGTCAGTTCCGTTGTCGTCGACATTATTATATCAACTCTGTTGTTGTCTACGTTAGATCAGTTCAGTAGTCATTGTTATTAGGCTCGAGTGTCGTCAACATTGCTACATGGAATCAGTTGTGGTCACTGTCTCTAGATCAACTTGGCTGTTTTCAATGTGATCAAGTTGTCGTCAAGTTTATTAGTTACAGTCACTCGTGAAATTTTGCTGCGGAGGAGAGAGTGATCGTGAAGCAACGGCAATCTTGCTACCTTTTTTGTTTTTGTCCAATCGAATGGCCTAATGGCCCTCAGGAATGTTTTTTTCAGTTAGACTTAAAAAAACTCCCCACTAAAGGGGTCATGAAACAATTTTTCAACTTTTTCCAGTTTAGCTTTCCTCCTCCACTCACAAATTGTGCATTGCACTAAACATTTCACGAAGACAGAGAGGAGGGAGTCCCCTCTTGCTTGGACCCTTGCTCGGACCCATTCTCTTCCTAGGAGGTTAACTTGTCGCTCAAAACCGGAGCAAAAGTTGCTTTCCCCACCCTGTTCACCCCGAAGCTGACAGTGCTGTAAAAGCCTCGTGCTCGTTAAGGCAGCCACACTTTTGCCACATGACCACGCTCCCTCGCGCATACCCACGCGCTGAGAATGAGGTCAGGTGATGAAAGGGAGGTGGCTGATTGGTCTGGCAAGTGCTTCCACTGCACTGGCAGCTTAGGGGTGAAGGGAATAAGGGAGGTTCGGTGTTGTGTGATGTGCGTTTGGGCCGTGTGAAGCGCTTTGAGTACTGCAGATGTATCACAGGGCAGAGTGCTTTCGAAAAGAAGGAGGATGAAATAGTCTGCCGTGATTTAAAATTTTTGTATCAAAAATCGGGCCTTTGATTTTCTGCCTTCTTTCTTTTGGCCCACTCAACGATACGCTATTAGTAAACTACCAATCTAAATTCATTTATCCCAGCCCAAAATTTGTTTCATGGCCACTTTAATCCATTGGAAATTTTTGCTTCTTCCTAATTTCCTAAAGTTTCCTAATTGTTTTTTATAACGGAACATATTTGCCGTTTAGCTTTACTGCTATGGCAGTGTCTGCATGCACAGAAGATTTTTGAAATTTATTCTAAGGAGTCTAGATCTGTGTGGCCCTCGTGGTAGTATCCACTCAAAGAAATGCCTGGGAAACATTCTAACGAACATAGGTACGCAAACGAGCCAGGGGAGGTCGATTGTAACGAACGAAACCCCAAGGTTGGGTGCAAACCGAGGTGTTGAGCATCCCGTTTCGTCCGTGCGTCGACAGCAGTCCCGACAAATGACCCACAAAGTCGAGACTGTCGCGTTATTGGGCGTTGTGATCCTGGCACCATGGGCCGAACGCCAGTCGTGCATTGTCGTGGGCGTCGTCTCAAACGCGGCTTCTCGGGCGGTGCAGGGGCGGCGGCGTGGGTGCGGTGCCCTTCTGGAGGGACGAGCCGGTGGAGCCCTTTGGCCGGGGTCCCAAGAGGGGCGGCCCCGCGGGCGGAGGGTCCCCCTGGGGCGCCCCCTCGGCGGCCCCCCAGGCCGCCCTCCCCCTCCAGAGGGGAGGGGCCTACGGGGAGGAGGCACGAGCCCCGTGGGGAGGAGGGGGCACTGCGCAGCCCAGGTGAGGAGGGAGGGTTTGTCTCCTCGATTTGACTCAGGGTTGCCGAGAAGGCGAGGACGGCAGAGTGCAGTCTCTTTCGAGCGCCCGGCCTCCGGCACGCACTCGTTGCCTTTCTCTATGCATGCACTCGAGGCTTGGGTGACGCGGATGCATCGTTGAAGGTTGGGAGCTCGCGCTGAAGGCCGGGCAACTGAAAGACCTCCCCGCCATTCTCAGCCTGCGGTGGCTGCTTCGCGAAGTCGACTTTGAAATGAAAGTTCATTTTGGAATCGCTCTAAATGCGTCCAACAGCGTAAATGTTGCTGAAAAAAAAAAAAAAAAAAGATTGTTCGTTTTGGGGAAAACTTACTGTGCAACGTATGTGTCTTGTCCAAAAACATAAAAAAAAAAAACTTTCTTGTAAGTGAAAGGATTTGTTTGTTTAAAAGACAGGTGGTTGACTGGAAGCACACCTTTTATGAAAACCAGTGCGTGTGGACAGAAACACTGATGTTAGTGCTACGTCTGCTCTGAGTGTCAGCCTGAAAAAAATTAAAAGAATAACTTTGGGCTCATTTTAAAAGTTTAGCAAGTTCCTGAGTTGCTTCAGTGCTTTCGCCTCAAGAACTGTATATTAAGAAAAGTTTAGCCCCCTAGAGGAGCGTTGCTGGTTTTCCCCTTTATGTGTGACTTAAGATATGTGTGCGTCCTTTTAAGATAAGTTATTTTATGTCTTATTGAGATGGACACATTTCAAACCCAAAAGGCCTTTCTTTTTTTTTTCTCTGGCAATTAAATTGTAAAAACTACTTTCTTGCTTTTTGCACAGATCGTGTTTAGGGCTAAAGTTTCATAAAAGAAATGTTTCAAAAAGTCTGTGACGCAAATATTTAACACGCTAAATTTAGCCGACTGACTTACTGCCAAGTTAAGCGGGAAACCTGAAGTTAAATTTCGGTGATTTAGCTCGGGAAAGCTTATAAACTTTAAAAAGAATGTTAACCTCCTGTATTTTTCTCTGTCTCCCCTACAATAATGCCCTCGAGGCATAGTAGGAACTCTGTAAATAAATGAATAAATAAACAACCACCCAACGCAGCTCAAAACGTGCATGTAAAATTAAGATACATTTTTCTTGAGGTTCCAGGCAGTCTAGAGGAGTGGAGGGGCGTGCTCTTTTGCTTCCACTCGAGGCAGCCAAGTGTTCCTCGAGATGAAGAGGGGTTTGGGTGGCCCAGTGGGTGCTTAGCAGATGCACGTCATTTCAGAAACTTCAAGCGGCCGTTCAGGGGAACCGGAGCTCGAGGTGGCTACTCTGGCAGGGGCAGCTACAACGGTGAGCGGTGGGAACTAGGCCTACGAGAAACAAACACCATTTGCCAGTCATTGTACCATTGTGTAGAACCATAGTCGGTGACAGGTTGAGAACTTGGCAGACACTCCGCATCCAGCGTGTGCCCTTTGCTTTCTGCCGGGCTCTGGCTATGCGTATGACGGAGCTTGCGCTCGGGTTGGAGCATGTGCTGGGTTCTCAACTTGTCACTGACTATATATTGGTGAAGTCATCCTTTTTTCCTCATGCTATATGTGAATGGAACAAGCTCCCTAGAGGTGGTGCTAGCTTGGCATAAAAAAAAAAAATTTTTTTTTTGTTGCAAAATTGTTTTATGACATTTTTTTTCCATCTAAGCTGTTTAAAAAAATGTTTTTTTCCTTTGCATGTGTCCTTTAAGAAGAAAGTCTTAACGACTTTCTTCTTAAAGGACACATGCAAAGGAAAAAAAAATTTTTTTAAACAGCTTAGATGGAAAAAAAATGTCATAAAACGATTTTGCAACAAAAAAAAAAAATTTTTAGAGTCATATTTACGGCGCGAAACCAATTTGTAGTTGGCGCCTGCGGGAGTCCACGGAAAAGTGGGCGCTATGGTCACGTGGTGCTTGCGCTTTTTCGGGAGCTTCATATGGGTTCTAAAAGTTACTTATTAATCTTCGTTCAAAGTGCAGTAAAAAGCGAAGTAATTTTTAGAGCCCAAAGGAAGCTCCTGAAAAAACGCAAGAACTATGCGATAGACTTGTGCGCTGGTCAGTAATTGACGCTGTGGTGCGCCAGAGCATGCGCCAGTGCCGGAGGGGAACACCCTTTCGGCGGCGGCGTGGAGAAACTCGTTCAACCGAACGGCGGCGTACTACGCTCGGCGTGTGGCAGCGGCGCACAGGCCTACCTGGTGACCAGTGGCAGTTCCAGCGGGCGCCAACTAGAAATGTGTTTTGCGCCGTAAATATGGCTCTAAATATTTTTGCTCTTTGTTGTTAAGTTGTTTTATGATATTCTTTTTCCACCTAGACGGTTTAAAAAAAAAAACACCTTTTCTTTGCTTGTCTCCTTCAAAGGGGCACTAAACCACTTTCTGCTGTAGTCTATTCATGATCATAACTCCATCTATTGGCTCCTAGCATCTTAAGAAACCAAACCTTACATTTAGGCATAACCGATTTTTCTGTTAAAATTGGTAGAAAAGATTAATTACCTCAGAGTTATCGCTCACACCAGTTGGCGCCATAGGACAAGGAAAAGGGCTTCTCCTCTTCGTCGGATGGCGTCATCTGGTGTCGGCGATAGTTCTGAGGTAACTGATATTTGATACGATTTTAATAAAAAAATCGGCCACGGATGGATGTAATGTTTGGCTTTTTCGGATGCTGAGATATCATAAATTGAGTTATGACCACAAATAGACTATCGCAGAAACTTTAAGCACTTTGCTGCTGGGTTGTTGGCTTCATTGTGCTGCTACGTCTTGTTTTCGGTCTACGGTTTTGTGCATATTTCGTGCGTCTGTGTTCATAGAGAATGCTGGCAGTATATCCAAGGCTTGTCGAAAATTTTAAAAGGATGAACAGCTCACAAGTTTAACACACCTGGCAGCAGAGAGTTGTGTGTTGTCCGTTCGATTCGTTAGTTTTCTGCCATCTTGAGCTTCTACGTCAAAATTAGTTCCTTTTTACATACCAAGTGAGAGAAATTTCATATGTTGTTATCAGCTGAGAGGGGATCCAAAGCTTTGCAGTCAGTCAAATTTGGGGCTTGTACATTTCAACCAATGACGGGCGCCTGGCACGTCCCAGCGGAGGTCTGAGGATTAATTGGGACCACCCTGGTATCTTTTGACGTGCAACCCAAAAGCTCGGTCACACGGAGCCTTCTTTGCAATAAGCCTCCGTCAAATTGCGGGTACCTCGGCCAGGATTCAAACCCGCTACCTCGACATCTGTAGGCCGGCGCTTTGCCTTGGAGCAACAGAGGCAGCTTAAGGCTTTGCAGTGCGACCATTCTCTTCAACAATTTTGACTGCAAAGAACTATTCGTTTTGTGCACACTGTATCTCGGAAAGGGTTATACAATTGTCAATATCTGCATATCTGAGGCTACACATGCCTTTGACTGCAATGAGAGCAGAGCTAGCTTTATTCTCACAGCTGCCCATATTCAAATGAATATTTATGACAGCATGCTTAACCATTGTGCATTCTGCACAATGGAAGCATTTAATAATTTACAAATATTGCAAGGAACACGTGGCAATAAAAAGGGTGTTAAGAGCAACCCAAAGAAAAACAGCCAATATATTGAAGGCTCAAATACTGAATGAGGAAATAGTGAGACACAAGAAACTGTTTGCTACAATGGAAAGCGTTTTACAATGAGACGTGTGCACCGCATGGCAAACTTTTTCCCTAACGCGGATGTGCGGCAACAGTTCCAAACATAAAAGTAGGTAGAACAAGCAAAGTTGGCTATAAGAACACTTTAGCAAACAAGGTTGACCGTTAAAATATTCAGAACTTGCTTCAGGAGTCTGAAGGACAAAGAGCAAAATCCCGCTCACCGCAGCTGCCACGGGACGGAGTTGCTGGTTAATCCCAGCGTGTTGCGGTTCCCCCAGGCTTTTCTTGAACACATCGATTGAAACAAGACTTGTCAAATGTTGGTAAACTTGATGAAAATGTCACATTTTCGCATCCTTCTACTCGCATCCCACACACGTGCTCCCAGAAAAAACAAACACCTACTGGTGTCACTAGCGATCGGGCGTTTCCAACTGTCAAACCGAAACTAGAAGTCAAACTAAAACAAGAATCGCTAAATCAAAAAGCCATAAGATTGATAATAGAGTATTCTATATATAGTATAGACCACTTACAACGTAACCGCTTATACGCTCCGTACGGGAACCATGGGGGGCGCTTTCAAGAACGCGCGTAGCGCCGCTAGCGGAGGAGCTGGCGTTCAACAGTGAGGCGCGCTCAGCAGCCTGCGGCGCCTTTTCGCGTGCGAAGCTGTGGCGGCGGAAGCGCGCACGGACGGAACTTTTGCTTTTTGAGCCGATAAGGTGGGGGTGACGTTGCATGAGTGCTGGGGCAGACCTAAGAAGGGCATCTAACTGTTCTCTACTTCTTATATATTGAGTTCGAGTCGTTATTAGGGGTAATTTTTCTAGTTGCGACCGGAAAAGGGGTTTGAGCAATTTTCCGAAAAAGCAAGACGGCTGCCACCATAATTGCTCTCATTGGGAAATTTGTTTCGCTCGTCGCTGTAAACGTAGGACCGCTGGGACGATAATATTTATAGGCGAGTGAGATGTTCACTAAGTTTGTGTACTAATTAGTGGGCCAAGTTTGATTAAGACAGCAGGTGTGAAAGTTATGGTTCGAACGAAGGAAGGAATAAAGCTGTCAGGAGTATCCAATATTGGACCCAAAATGGTGTGTTATAACCGGGCTGTGCGAAGTGCAGATTTGGACGCACAGGTTCTTGGACATGACCGTAACTTGGCACAACAGTTATGATACCAAAAATAGGTGGCATAGGGAAACCAGGTGGAAATTTGGTTTGGGCGGCGTATTTAAAAGGGAAATGGTTTTGACCGTGAAAGGGCTGTCAAGAGATTACCACTTGTCGTGGGAGATGGAGACTTTACTGGTAGAAAGGGACTAGTGCACTATACTTCCAATTGAAACAACTCTACGAAAGGTGGCTTCAAAGCTGAGAAAACCAAGTTGCCGGCCAACACACGGTTTGGCCGTCAAAGGCCTTTGCAATCAGTTGTTGTGTAGTAATCTGGTTGTGCGAGGTGCTGATTTTCGGCACACAGGTACTTGTACAACCGTAACTTGACAAAACACTTATTATACCTAAAAGATGTGGGATTATTTAACCAGGCGGAAATATTTTTGGGCAGCGTAACTAAATGGGAAACGGTTTTGACCGCCAAAGGCTGTCAAGAGAATACCACTCATCATGGACGGGAGGTGCACACTTTACAGGTAGGAAGAAACCAGTGGACGATACTTCCAAATCAGACAACTTTACGATAGGTGGCTCCAAAGCCGAGAAAAAATATTATTGTCTACAAGACTCGGGGTGTCAGCGCTTCCACATCCAAAAGGAGGCTGATCAAAAAAGAAAGCGCACCACATAAACTTCCATACTCAAACATTGATTCTCCAGTGATTCCAAGTTTCATTGTAGTTTTTCTTGGATTCATATTTGTCACTTTTTGTACCGTCCGAATCTTTCTTCATGAAGTACAGACTGCGTGCCATACTGGTCCGGAAATATCATCGACACGTACGATGGGGACGAAACTTTTTTGGAGGGCATTCCTTCAACGAAACTCGCACAGCATACCCCCGAGTGTGGGAGGCATCATTTCAGTTCAAGCTGAGATATGTAGGCGTTACTGGTACGAAAACAAACGCAGAGCGCAAAACGGCAGTGTAGAATACGTCAGCCGCGCCGACACAGTGGCAGACATGATCGGGAGACCAAATTTCTCGCGTCGTACGGCACGGGTCTATCGTTGAGTCTGTCCCACAAAACATTGGCGAGGTGAAAAACTGTGAAACTTCGTCCCCACGACATACGACGCATAACAGCAGTTCATGCTGTCAACCTAGCGCAACCGCACCGCTCCGACTTCAATGCGTACCAATGTACGCGGCGTGGTTTCGTTTCGCTGGGGCTCTCACTGCCTACCTTCAATAACGGCCGCGCGGCGGCGCGCCGGTCGCGTCGCACGGAGTGTATAGTACTCCATGTAATTACATACCGCTTAAAATTCAGGCGCGCGAAGGGAAATACCGGTTATAGTGCAATTTCTGGCTGGCGCAGCGAGCACACTTCCCATTGCGACACTAGATAACGGCGCGAGCCGCAAGCGGCACTCGCGGGGCAAGGAGGTTGCTCGAAGAAGCGAAGAGAGAGGCTTCAGTTGCCATAGCGACGGAGGGACGCACGCACTTGTCGTTCACGTTTCTGCGTCCCTCCGCTGCG